AGTGCACACTACTAAATTCCTCCTAATCAATTTGTATTAGTCGAATAAATTATTCTATAAAATATGTTTTGTTACTATTGTCGCGGTCTTTACATATTTCTATTTTTTTTTATAATACATGGTGGCAAACGAACAAGCGACCATCTGAATCCACAGAAATGGAAAGCGACCGTTGTCCATAAACATCCACAATTGCAGATGCGTTGCCTACCCTTAATTGACGGAGGGGGAGACGCACATAAAGAGGACATTTTCTTTTCCTATGCGTCTCCTTCACCGTCAAATCTACTTTTCCTTCCCATCCTTTCCTCTTAAGAAAAGGGTGGAAAGGGAAAGGGACTAAAATTGGGCCTCCAGCACCACACTCACCGGACGAAACGCGGATTTGCTTCCACTTCACGCCTGTCTTCTGTATCTAGATGTTAAAGCGGGCTGTACCACTGTTATTGGATACAAAGCTTCGTCTCAATAGATACCATATATGTACTTAATATCATATTCCAGTATTTACAAAGATACAAAATGACCATACTACAAAAATAGTAACATTTTCAAGGCTAACCACGAATAATCATGAGAAAGTTTTTGTAAAGTTATCGACTAAGTTTGTATTAGATTTAACAGTGGTAGAGGCCGCTTTAAATTTATTATGTCGCCGAACTGCCAAAGAAGTTTATTGGCGAATACAAAATTCAAAAATATACATATATTTCTACAAGATAAATACTTTCTTTACTAATATTTCGTAACTAAATTACTATGAAACAAAAATTTAAATTTAAATAAGAAAACTATAATTCTTTCTAACTAATAACATAGTTATTCTGGCGCGTACATATTGTAATTGTGTTAAATTTCTTCTTACAACAGTCCTTCTGTAAATTATATAGTAAAGCGAATTCATTAAATAATCTCGGCACTATCTACGAGAACGTTCGCCTTAATAGTTATGCTCACTTGGTTCCTCGAAAACATTACGTGCTGTCTTTCTTAGATTACCGTAAACATACTTTTTAAGTAGAAAATCATTTTTACGCTGCTCAGTTGCTAACAAATAATTTTACATTTCTTTTGAATTTTCGTATTAACTAATACTTTACTATGGCCTAGTCACATTAACTTAAGGTAGGCTCCGAACCCCTCAGTAGGGACGTATAGTGAGCTAATGATGATTAAGTAATTACTTAACAAATCTTAGTTGGATATGGTGTCCTATCTATATATGTTTGGAAAATGCGCCCGTACGCAAAAAAATCGCAGCTAGTCCCTGAGTCTATGAAAGCATGGTACAACATTAGCAAAGTGCTTTTATGTATTGTATTGTAAGAAAACCGAATTTATACAAGATAAACCTTAATTTCTCACAAATTAAATCTTCATTAACATACCAATATTATAAAAAGGAAAGATTTGCATTTTTTATGTGTTGAACGAAATCAAAAACTACTGGGCCTATTACAAAAATTATTTTACCATAAGAGAGCTATAGTGTCAGTGAGTAACATAGGCTATATTTTTTTAATTTTACGCTGACGAAATCACAAGCGACACTTAGTTTACTTTAAAATTCTGATTAGCGTCACCAAAATTGCAAGTTGAAATTAAAAAGTAATCGTTATTTGCATTTGCTCGATTAGTGACCTCCTGCAGCTGCTACGAATAGATCCCGCGTATTGGCATCGGAGCCTTAACTGCTGGCCCTATTTTCGAGTGTAGTGTAAGGTATAATCTTTTCATGATACTATTTCTGATACAATAAATTTAAAAACATCTGAAATTTTAGAAAATACTAACTGTAGCCGCTACTTCACCGCGCTTTATTAAAAAACGTACGAAAAACAAAAAACAACCTATCCCTCGGGACCCTGACATTTTTTGAGGATGAACTGTATCCTTAGTGTAACTTTGTTTTATATCTGTGCCAAATTGAAATCTTACTAATACTCTAAATGACAAAGTTAATAAGGATGGATGTTATCGCGACAATGTACGTAATCGCTTTCGCTATGGTGAATGCATGTTTTTATGTAAATGTTCTCTCTATGTCATACATAATTATACTCCTGCTCGTTCCAAAGAACCATTAAACAAATAAATTGATAAAGGATAGTTTTGGCACATTTCAACATTAGACTACGAAACAAAGAAGTAAAAAGAAAGATATTAAGGTTTTGCCTCACTGTTGCACACTTGCGCCAACCCCAAACACGGTGTTGTCGCAACAGGTCAGTCTAGATATTTGATTTTTAAATAATTGCTAAGTACTAAAGAAGAACGATTGTTCACATTGTACACCCTATCTTCTGTTTCAGGACTTAGTTGGTTGAAATAAAAGTATGTACTAAGTAGTGTTCTAAAT